CGCGGCATCTTTCAGATTCAGTTTTCAATACTGTAATTTACTTTTGCATCAGTATGCTAATTAAAAAAATCCACGCACGTAAAACTGAATATTTAATTGACACGTGACATTTATTGTCCTATAAACCTCTTTTCACTTGGACAACGTTTTTGGGATCGACTGTATTTCTTTGTATTCGTTTACATGATACCAGGGCAAAATTTCGTTCCCGAACAAGTCATTCCGGAATGATATTCCATACCAATACATTGTGGTACGAACACTCATTCCAGAAATGTCTGATACCTATACATTGTGGTACGAACACTCATCACAGAAATGTTTGATGTATCTATGCGTATCAGCTTATATACCGTCGCTTTCACCTAAGCGGAAACGCATCTAAAGAAAACCGCCACTGCCGCGCGCCCGTGTAATATCCTCTATTTATTATTATTATTATTACAATAAAATTTGTCCAAAATTCGCTCTGAATTAGTTTGGTTCCACTTTAAGTCAATACTGCACCGATAGCCGCCTTTTAGCTCAAAAGCCTTTTTAAGGTGTTTTGATACAGATTCATGATCAGCAAACTGAACTTTTTCAGTCGTCGCGTTGACAATGTTTTGTTTGCTGGATTATTTTCGAATTTATAGCAGTTATTGCTCTTGATTTGACGTTTGTGTTAATGTATATTTTATTAAAATCAAAGTTTTCAACGCAAGAAAATTGAGAAAAATCGGAAATTGGAAAAAATAAAATGCGCGCGATTCAGAAGTGATCTAGAAAAACTGTTTAAACTCCTAAGAATCCCCAATTCCCGCGAAGACGTAGCTAAATTTAAAAAAGAATCGTTTTTAAAACGAGTGCGCAAAAGCGATAAAAAAACAAAACAAAAAAACTGAGAGTATGAAATGTTCGTGCGATTTTCTCCAAATCTAACATAAGAATTTCTTTAAATCTTTGATACCTTGTTTGTCATGAATTTGGGATTCACAGGAGTTAACCGTCATTGTGAAAACAAGAGCAACAGCAACATTTTAGGATAGTTTTGAAGTGATTTTATTCAATAGGAATTTTTTAAACCGAGTGCGCAAAAGCGATAAACAAAACTGAGAGTATGAAATGTTCGTGCGATTTTCTCCAAATCTAACATAAGAATTTTTTTAAATCTTTGATATTTTGTTTGTCATGAATTTGGGATTCTTAGGAGTTAACCGTCGTGGTGAAAACGACTAATAAATGATACCTCAGAATGAGAATGCTCACGGCGACTCGTATTCATTAAAACAAAACTCCTCTCCCAACCCGCCGCCATTTTTAAACCCGACACACAGGAAGCCCAATCAGTACTTCCAGGAAGACCTGGAAGTTGCTTTTTCGACAACTAGCTCGGAGCACATGATGAAATGGCGGCCTCCATTTGTGAACTCAAAGTACACTTTATTAAATTTTCTTATCTTAATTCTACATTAATATATTATTGTTAAGAACACTCCTCATTAATATTCTATTGTGTGCTAATTAGTCCCTTTTATCCCTATACATATCCTATCGCAAAGCTATAATCTTTCTGCTAATCAGTGGCTAGACACAAGCCAAAGCAGTGGCGGATCCAGGATTTTTCAAAGGGGGGTTCCGCTAAACTGTGTACAATTCTCTTTTGTTTAGTGGATGTTTGACAAAAAAATTGGCTCTAATCAGCTAATTTACTATCTAGTAACGGAACTTAAAGGTAAATTAAACATTATATAACAGCAAATATATATCATTTCGTGTTCAAAATTTATATAAGACATATTTCTATTACCAAAAAGATCAAACCTTCAAGGGAGGTTCCGTGGACCCCTTCGACCCCCCTGGATCCGCCACTGGAAAGTAAAAGGTTAAGTCCTTTCCATTGGAGGAAATGGCCACAAGACAAAGAAGTGAGACCAGTTATGATACTCAATTGCTGCGATTTCTTAGTTTGTTTGATTGATTGCTTCTAATATATCTTTAACTTGATTTCATTTTATTTTATTTTGTCTATTTTAAACCTATTTTTCAAGCAAGCATATATGCTCACAAGGAGAAGCAGGGGTTGAGTTCCGAAAAAGCAACTTTGGTCTTCCTGTGTACTGATTGGGCTTCCTATGTGTAGGGTTTCAAAATGGCGGCGGGTTGGGAGAGGAGTTTTGCTTTAATCTGAATACGAGCATTCTTA